GTTACGGCAAATTTGTATCACTCGCACGAACAACGTTGTTCTTTACAAAAACTATTATCATTGAATGCTTCCACCTGTTTTGACATTTGATCACCCTTATAATAAACAGTTTTGATCAATTTTAAGCAGCGTGAAATTAAAAACGACTAGCTATTATACTGTGTGCCTTTCTAAAGCGCATTTAGATTTTTCTTCTTCAAAATACTAACGGGATTGCTCAGATTATCAGAGAGTTATAGAGTATGGGGAATGTTTCCGCTACTAACTAGTTCGAATAAAACAATCCACGTTAAACACTTCAAATAACTTAAAAGTGCTTTGAGATTATTAATATTATTAATAATTTTAAAGCGCTTTTAAGTTATTTAAAAGTATTTAAATTTGTCTTTATTGAAAAGTTCATTAAACGTCAGATAAATTATAATCTAAAATTTTTCCACATGTAATTTAAAATTCTTATATTTGCAATATACTTAACTTCCCTTTGGTGCACTACGTCCTTGGTACATCTCTAGATCTGTGACAGGTATCCGATAGTGGCGGTGTAACATCTATACTAGAACAAACGTGCTAAGAAGAGCACGTGCTGCGTACTTTTTGAAAAGCTAACGACATATTGATTGACGGATTTGGTGTAGGTGCTTTTTGTTTGCATACTATTTTCATTTGAATGACATCAACAATTCTTCAAATAATTTGATTAATAGCATTGTTTCGTTGATTGCAAAGGTGAGACGCCAAATGTTTCGTGTTATTGTGTTTTTAAATAGATTCTTCAGTTTAATTTTGATCTGAAATTAGTAGTACATATTATATTTAAAATTTAAAGGAAAAAACAATTTATCAGTGAAATTTGATGTGCCAATCATGTTATGTAAAAATTTTGATTGCCAAATCATAATTTTTTTTATTCCCAAGCATGTTTAAACACAATCGACCCAATGCAAGTGGTAAACTATATGCACCATTTCATAAAACGTTATCATGCGCGTAGCTACGTTTACGTCAAAACGCCCGGGCGTACACATACATTTTGAAGAAAAAATAAAAGACAAAGTGACGAAATATACTTTTTAATCTAATGGTATCATATGATTTATTAGGTAATTTTAGATCATATACATATAGCTCTGTAACTGTTTCGGTTCTTATACATCCTCGGCTTTAAAATATTCGGCTTTGAGCGTGCCTGATGAAGGTAAATCCAGAAAAGCGCTTCAAACTCATGAAATTAATAATGTGTTGTTTTCATATTTTATATTATATACTTTTTCATTTTCTATCAAAGTCTCAATCTACTGTGAATTCTACTCAGTTTACTATTGTTTAAAGCAATTCATTATCTGGTCAGATACGATGTCGCTTGCATTTTTATGTTACAGTTCAATATTTATTTTTACGTTACACTTGCCCATCTATGAAAATTAATTAGAATATATGTCCATTAACAAAATTTGAGTTTAAAAAGGTGAGTAAACTAGATCTATAAGGTCAAAAAAATTAATAGAACGACAACATTGAAATGGAGACTTGCTTTTTGGCTATCTCAATAAGTTTTGATTTTTTTGTCGATTGATTGTTTACCCCACATCTCCTTTTAAACCAATCTAATTAAAATATACATCTCTGATTTCGTTATACTCATAAGATACGAGCATGCAAGTAAATATAGATATAAATTTTAGATTGCTTTTAAACATATTTTTAAGCAACTGTTTTAGACATTTTTCTCTTAAATACATTACCATTATATTCCAAATCAATACAATGAATAAATTTAACTGTAAAAAAACAAATTAGACTCTAAAAGAGACGCGAAATGGATATTCAAACTCATCAGTTGAAAACAAACTGACAATACCATGGCAAAAAACGAAAAACTATGAAAAGGCAAACAACAGTAAACAAAACACAACATAGAAACATAAGACTTAACAACACGGACCCCACCAAAACCTGGGGGTGATCTCAGGTGCTTCGGAAGGGTAAGCAAGTTCTACTCCATGTGTGCAAACCCAGTGATAAGTCTAATTCGGTAGATCACATTAGAGGAAAAGAGGACGGGATTGTGGTAATATCAACAATTGGAACATATCCGTCGTCATTAATCTACTCGTTATGTCGAACGTAAAATTTTCGAAGGGATGATTTCAACTTCACCACTTGGAACTCTTGGTTCAGTAGCTTCCTTGTAAGCATCCACTATCTATCAAGGAAATGATGATAGGAAATGCAAGCTCTGGAATATCTTATCAACTGGCATGTATATACTCCATATGCAGGTGCTGCTGGAATGTTGCTACAAAGAAAAAAAAAGTTCACAATTGGAGGCTGAAATCATCTCCTTTGTCGTAAAGTTTTGTTCTTAACCGACCAAATATGTTGCTATTGATGAGTTTTTAATGACAGATATTGGTATCTCTTTCTCAATAACGCGTGAACATCCGGGGGGTTTCGCCCCCAACTAGGAGGTCTTCTGTTCTGGACCTCAAACCCCTCGATGAGTTTCGGGCGTACACTTTAAAATGGCCTAGCTACGCCACTGGTTATCAATTCAGATTCTGTCAAATCATTTGATTTTTCAGAACTAAACAAATACAAGTGACTGAAACCTTGGGTAAGGCTGTTTGTGGTTACTTCTGAGATTTAAGCATGATACAAGTAATTAAAATAAAATAAGGATCGATATGTGATATGATTGCCAAATGAGACAACTATTGTTGAGACTACAAATGACGTAGATAAAAGCGGCAACTATAGGACACCATGTATTCTTTAACAATGAGCAAAACCCATACCGTATAGTCAGCTATAACAGACCCCAACATGACAAAATGTTAGAAAATTTTACGGGAAAAAAATGATTTAGAACAAAACAATTAACGAAAAACAAATATGAATGACAGCAACCACTGACAACCACTGAATTAAAGAATCCTGACTTGGGACAGGCGACCTCACACAAGTCCAGATTACTTTAACCGACAAAACAGGAGCCCAAAAAATCGGAATCATATTAGAACGGAGTGAAAACATGTGCATCAACACCTGCTATGTATGCACCGAAAGTCACAATCATTTGTTAGTGTCAAATATTGAACATTACCAAACCGTTGATAATGTCTGTTTGACATGCATGGTGATCTATAGTCAAGTTAGAATATCCCAAATAAGTTGAAAAACCGAGAAACTTTTTTGATCAATCAATTCATGATGTTGAGCGAAACCCTGTAAGAGTAGTTAGTGAATTTGCCACTGTGAGAACACACTCTAGTATATCTTATCAAATGAGATACGTATATAAGCGCTGGATGATGGTTCTGATGATATATATATATATATATAACATAACTAAAATCATCGAAATAGATCCTTATTTCAAGATTTCTGTCAGTATCGATTTCAAGAAAAAAGTTTCCGATATAAAGCAGACTTTCTAGTTTTTGTTAAATGCTGAATTCCAATTTCACAGGTATTTATTGCATGTACGCACTCACTAAAAAAAGAAGCACTATTAACGTCGATATCAGGAGTATATATAGCTTGTTAGAATATCAATCCACTAGCTACATGTAAGCTTAACAAATATATATTTTCGATCAAAACGACAAGTTTTGAATAATTCATGCTTTGGTGTTTTTGTTTTTGGAATATTAAGCTTGGACAAAATAAATACATTCGGCAAATATAATGGAACAATTTTCCGATCGTTAACTTTACATGTATAATTACTTAGATGCACGATTAGTTGTCCACTTTGTACTGCATCTTGACTTTTGTGAAATCAAAGTTAAATTGGTGGTCATAAAGTACTTATTCATATATACTGTTTATGGGTTGCCGATCAAAGAAACCATGTCAAATGGATTACGAAGAAGTGGTTTGTAAAATGCAAATTAATGGAACGGCACATTCAAAAGTCATATAAAGCTAAGATAATCCCATAAAACACTTTTTTATTATACTGTTAAATAAGTTTACAAAAATGGAAAGTCACAGATGTGGGCATAAGAAATTTGAAACAGATAGGCAGTGCAGTTTTCTAATTCGATAAGCATGTAATTGACTAATAAATTGAAAATTAAGTTACTTCAAGTTCAAATATTGTGTTTTGTCACGATATCTTTATATAGTCTTTCCTGTATGTACAGTTAATATGGTTATTAATATGATTCACAAAAACCCACAAGTTGAATTACGGTTGTATTTGTACTATCAATAACTAGTGGGTACGAACTTGGATAAAATACGTGATTTCACAATTTATGAAATAGATGGGTCAAAAGTTGACCATGCCAAATATATGCTTTTAACATATTGATGTTAATCAAATGTTTAAACACGAGAAGTTAAATATATTTTTATAAGATTCTGTTTCATCTATATTTACCCATTTTTTTTAAAGACCATGTATTAGCTATTTAAGCATTTAAATAGTATTCTAATATTATTTCAAGTACCTAGTTGTTCTTTTCTCTGTTTCACAGTTTACATTAATAGGACAATAAATTTGCTTTTTCTTCCTTAAATTACTGATCTCCAATTAATCAGTACTGGAATATGAAATTGGATGCTGTTTCCACATCAATTATAAACATAATTCTCAACATAATTCTCAGATTATATAAATCTTTAAGCAAATATTGATAGTAGAAAATAAAGCACATGAATTGTGTTAACATACTATATTGAGAGTAAAATCGATTCCTACGCTCTGAAATCTTTCTTGATAAACATCGGCGACATAGGTGAAATAAAAACTTTTATCGAGAGTTGGTAAACAATTGAATAAGACGTTTGAACTGTGATTTAACTTCGTCTTATTCAAAACATATTAAAATTTATTATGATGTAGCCATAACTAAGACAAGCTCTTCGAAAAATCTGAAGGAGAATTTATTTTCTTATCACATTGAGGGCAGACTTCATTTATATTTGTAATAGTTACATTCAACTTAATAGCTGTGGAATTATTTTCGTTTTTGTTTTCTTTGTTCCAGAGTCTAATCAGAACATTAGTAGTATATATTGTACACTTTCACGTTGAGAAGAGTTCAAAGAGTTCTACATCGACAAAAATACATATGATGAAGAGACATTTTAAAACTGTTGTGGTTTCCGGATGGATTGTACCACACAGTGGATCGTAAGGATGGTACTCTTTGTGAAATGTGATTCTAATATTGTCAGCTTGAACATTAACCTTATGGAACGCAATAAAATATGGCCAGAATTGGATTTTATTTAAAGATCCTGGAATTCCTTGAGATACTTCTTTTGCTACCACTCATAATTAAAGGTAAGTCTATGAATTTCTTAACTTAAAAAATGTCTTACCTGCATACACCAGACAGAACTGAATAGTTATATAATACATCGGTTGGATACTATAACCTTGCTCGATGTTCTATATACACCAATGTGAGTTATTTTTACCAACTAATTAAATTTAAAAAAAAATATAAGAGTGCCACATTGCATAACAAAACTTTTTTTAAGAAATATTTTTGTGATGCATAAAAGAAAACCTCGTCATAAACAACATGAACAATATAATTTCTTATCTTACAAAGTTGTTCAATTGAAACCTGTGTATGCATTTCAAACAAATATTATTTATTTGTTTTATTTTAAGAATCTTTAGAGGGATTTATACTTGCAGATTGCGTATGAAATGATGTTTATCTTAAAATCACACAGATGCATTTATTTGATCCAACTGCAGCTTTAAATATTTATTTCTTTAAATATATACACTAAACACATGTACATAGTTTGCCCTGTAGGAGCTAACATATATAAGTTCTTAAGAAATGGCATGTAAAATTACTCTGGGAGCACCATTATACATGCAAATATACTGACATGAAAAAAATAAATTGATTATTTTAGCATTAGTGTCTAAAGTAACCTCAATAAATCAACAGTATGTTTGTTTTTGAGGTGTATACCTTAGTAGTTATAATGGCATGCCATTTATTTATAATGTAGCAATAAAGTATTAGTCTAAAACAGAATGTATGGAAAAGTGTTTTATTTATAAGCTTTACAGGGTACTTATGAATATTTTGATGAGCAAAATGAATAGTATCTGCTCATTTTTTAAAATAAAATAATACTAATAGTTTACTGAACTCGTAAACAGCAGGAAATATCACTTAAAATACCTGTTGTAATTATAAAGGATCTCAAAGATGAAATGACTCGGGCATATTGTTATGTTTATGTAAATTGATCATCTCTAACTCTTTATTTTTTTCACGTGCGTGTTCTAGGCTTTTCAGGTGAAATTCTACAATATCTTGCATTGAGTAAAGCTAAAGGGATATTTTTCAAAATGCGTATCTGTTGATTTTCGAAACTGATACGATACCGTTAAATTGTAATTAATTTGGTCGAAACCTCTATTCATTGACTTCTAGTGCTTAAGCGTGTAGATCTCTTTTCCTGGGCCCCAACGGTATTCCGGGTTATAGACATAGGACTCAGTTTCCCTCAGGTATTGAATCCGGATGTGCGGATTATAAACACACAGCCACACATTGTCGGAATGGGCACGTTGAATAACCCGATGCCTCGTGAAGGGCAAGTGCAACGCTTTCGTTAAAAAAGCCTTGTTATAACTCCGTATGTTGATATTTGAAAAGCAAAATTTCGGCCCCTATCCAACATCCTTTACATGTGGCTATCTTCATTCCGCTCGACCCAATTTATAGAACCTATTTTCGGGATTTATTGATAATTTGTTCAGATAACTGACGAGTGAGCGACTCGGAACAGAACCAAAAATCAGGGATGAACTCAGGTGTTCGGGAATGGTAAGGAGTTCGTAATCCAATAGTGATACCCGTCGTGTTGATTATGACAAGCAGATATACAATGATACATGTAAGTCACATATAAATAAATGATCGCCAAACGAGAAAAAGAGGACGGGAAATATGGTAACTACAAATTATACTTATCCTTAGTCATCTCATCGTTGACTAAGATATTCCAAAAAGGTCAACCAAATCGTGTTGTTGTCATGACATGAAACGCGTGGTCTTGAATACCGTTAAAGGCGAATACCTTACCACGACCTCATCGACAAGGTTATGTTTTTCACAATATACAGTTTATTGTCCTGCAAGATGTCAACACAATTTTCAACACGCGGACCAGTTGAAAGGTCAACTTTTTGTCTGTTTTCTGATATTTGCTAGCTCGCTCTCTGATCTAGGACAACACACTAAGGTCATCGTGAGACAACGTCTTTCTCAATTTGTTCTTTTTATATCACACTGCACACAAGGTTAATCAAAGTACTGAAGTACTGAACATCGGATGACCACAAGTTCTTGAGGATGGTCAAAAGCACTTGTCTCAGAAAAAAACAACATATCCCTTTACCTGAAACTGAGGTTAATGTACAGAGATATATTTTTTTTTTGAGACAAGTTCATGCGTGGATGATGAATAAATGACAGGAAATTCAACTTCACCGTAATAACTATTATATTGTAGTGATACAAATCAGTATACACTGATATGTTGTTATATATTATATTAAAATAACAGTTACACATATATATATATGATTTGCATCCATTTGTATATCATTCTATTCTACTATTCTAATAATAGTGCAATGCAAGTGCATGGTGTATTTTTTTCTGTAAAAAATCGATTTTTCTAAGATTGGATACGAGTAGGCATTCATATTTTCCCGCAAAAATAATTACAGAGTTACCGGTCCTTGCCGGTATTGTCGCAAAACGTTCTTTGAGATATTCTTCCGCATGCTTTAACACAATTTTTCGGTACGTGTGCATTGATATTATCAATAATTTTTTACTTATATATATATATCTAACTACAAAACATTTTCATATTATTAATTTATGTTGTAAACAAAAATATTTTTATCAGTATTCATTGAAGAGATGTATTTATATCAAACGATAAGGAATGTTATTTTGCACTCGTTTATGTGCGCATATTTATCATGTTTATAGATCGGTTACAAACCCAAAACTAATTTACATAATGGAAATCTAGGCGATAGCAATACATCGGAATGACCTCAAGGTCATCGCGATGTAAAAAGTATTAACGCGATTTCTGGTTGGATACAGGCGAATGTTTTGTAAGATGTTTACTGTTTTGGGTCAATTTCATTGGGGTATAGTTATTTAGCATACGGCCTGGGAGCCATTTAAATCGAAGTTTATTACTGCATGACCGCACAAATATTTGTTCTAAGTTGGTATTCAAAATTTTTTTGTTATTTTTTTTTATCAAATCCGCAACTTAAAATCCATCAGAGTTGTCATATTTAATCATTATTATGTTATTTAAATAAAAGGAAATGATATATGTCCATCAAACAACAAATCAATATAGCCAAAAAGACATTAAGATAAAAACATTTTACAATTTCAATGTTACTGGTGTGATTAATTCATAACGTACAAGGAAATGTAAACAACTTCAAGATTAAAATCATCGGAAAATAAAGTGAAGAAAATTAAACTATACATGTAACAAGTAGTAAAACGGTAGATACTGTTACATCTATGCGGACGACGGATCATAGTTCGAGATTAATGTGGCGTTATAACAAAGACTTAAGTACAAAAAGTTTGTAAGTGGGTATTGTTGCATATAGTTGTATATCTTTATATCTATAAAATCATATATTATTTCAGAATTTTCTTACCTTTAACATAATCATTACATTGTATGTAATTACATGTAATGCACAAAGTTCGGACCTTGCCAACGCTGAAATTGAAATATTTGAGAGACGGCACAATAGGGCAAGCTTGAGCCCCAAAATACAATTTAATGGCCGTGTATATACCATATAACATCACTGACGGCCTGTGCAGGTATTATACCCTATAGGCTACCTGACACTTTCAACAAAACAACATGATTTTAAGGTCTTATATTGGGAAATGTCAAGTACGATAACTCTTGTAAACGCCGTGTATCAAATAAATTTGGTCAGCAAGTGACTTCGCACAAAACATATTTGTAAAAAATGTTTCTGTACTCCTAACAACACAATTGTTATATTTAAGTTTACCTGTGTATGTTACTTTATTTTACGCCAATTTGTCCTAGGTTAAAGTTGTCTTTTTGACATTGAAACATCTTTTTTATAATTTTATATTGTGTCATAGATCAAACTTATTCGTTCAGCTATATTTACTTGTTTTTGTGTATTGTCTTTTTGATCGAGTTAAGCCATTTCAATTGATATTTTATTGTGTGTCTTTTTATGTTGTAATGTTATACCACTGTTTCAGGTTAGGGTGAAGGTTGCCGCCTGTTAAAACGTTTAAACCCGCTGCATTTTTATGCATGCACCTATCCTAAGTCAGGAGCCTGTTGTTCAGTGGTTGTCGTTTGTTGGTGTGGTTCATAAGTGTTTCTCGTTTCTCGTTTTTATATAGATTAGACCGTTGGTTTTCCGGTTTGAATTGTTTTACACTAGTCTTTTTTGGGGCCCTTTATACGTAGCTTGCTGTTCGGCGTGAGCCAAGGCTCCGTGTTGAAGGCCGTACTTTGACCTATAATTGATAACTTTTTACACATTGTGACTTGGATGGATAGTTGTCTCATTGGCACTCATACCACATCTTCTTATTTATCTTTACTCTATAGAATTTAAGATATATTTGCAAACGTGTGTATTTAAATCACCGTCCACGTTTTGACATCTGTACGTGTATTACTGTATATATTTTTATAAGCATTCAGGTGTGCATGAACGGGGCTTTTGGAATAACAAAACTCATACCGACGTCGCTAACAGTGTAGTAAGTTGTAGCTCTTCACCATGTAGGAACGCCAAGAACTAAACATTCGTACATCCTGCAAGATCGTTGATTAGTTGTTGCTTAACGCCCAATGACAGTTATTACATTCATATTCAGGACAATTGGTATAGGCATCGGATACTGTAAACCAACTTATTTTCGCGGATACTTTATTTCGCGTTTACCCCTTTCTAGACCACTTCGCGGCGATCAATTTCGCGATTTTCTAATTTACTTGATGTATTTTAATCATGGAAGATCCAAGTTTTTCATATTCTTTACGATCTATATTCGCGTTATTTTTCTACTCGCGAAAGTCGCGAAAATAAATCGTACGCGAAAATGAGTTGGTTCACAGTATATCAATAGATCTTCTTACATACTATCAATCTTTTCAAAGTAACTCAAACAACAGAAAAATATGACAAAGAACATCCCATTCATTTATCTTCTGCATCCGTTTCAAATTATATTGGTTTGTATTGAACAA